GAGCTCTATTTCCAGCTCTGGCACTGACTGGCTGGTGGCATTGGGTAGTCTCCTGTCATCCTGGTGCCAGCAGTGCTGGCTAATGTTTAGAGTGACTTCAATCCCATGGTCAGCTGGGTGAGCCTCTCCCTTAATCCAGGCATCCTGGCTCTGTAGGCTGGGCAGGTTTCCCAGGCTTGCAGGGAGTTTAGGCAGTGCACCTGCTTCTCGGTACCTTCTGCCTTTGGAGCGCAGGCCCTGTCCTGAATCTGCAGGGGCCCAAGGTATGGGAGTGAAGAGATGAATGAGGGTAATAGTAATATAATCAAAGCCTTATTGCTGAGTTGGCAGCAAGATCCCCTAAAGAGCTCTTGCTCTATGGATGTGTCTTCAGGGGAGTTTCTCTGCACTTCTCTTAGGTAGAGGATGCTGCAAAGGTTTCTGGGGGCATATTCTGTGGTCCATAGCTTACATGTTGACCCTAAACTTCAATGGTGTGTTTAATTCAAATTGGCAGGGTGGGGGTGGGAGTCACAAGGGCTAATGCAATCCTTGGATGTAGAAATGGGAATCTTGAGGAGTAGGTTATTCTCACTGGTTGTCACACCAGGGTTGAGTTCTGGTATCCACAAGGCAAGAAGGATATGGAAAAATTGGAGACTGCTCACAGAAGAGCCCTGAGAGAGACTAAGGCCATATTTTTCCAATCCTTTATATTGAGAGACTCAAGCTAAAGAGCCTGAGCTCCTTATCATACCACAGGCTGGGGGTAATTTAATTGCATCTGTAAGTACCTCCATGGGGAACAGATGTTTGATAGTAGAGGGCTCTTCAGTTTGGCTAACCAGTCTACCACAATGCAATGGGTGGAAGCTGAAGCTAGACAAATTCGGACTAGAAATAATGTGCCGAGCTGGAACAATGAGGGTCATTAACCATTGGGACAGCTGTGGTGGGTTCACCATCCCTGGAAACGGTTCAGTGAAGATTGGATGCTTTCCGAAGAGAGATGCTCTAGCTCAAGCGCAGCTGTTGGAATTGAAGCAGGAATTAATACAGGGCATGGGTCTGGCCTGTGTGATGCAGGAGGTCAGACTGGAGCAAAAACGGTCCCTTCTGGACTTGGAGTATATTAATGTGAGTTGTGTTAGCATGTGTCCAGAGCGCAGAATGGCCTGTTAGCACCACATGAATGCCCCTTGTCCTCTAATGACTTCCCACGATTCTCTTCTCTCTCTTCTCCCCCATGCCCACCAGGACAGACAAACTTTTCCACAATTCACTGGACAGAATTCATAGCTTGAGACAAGCCCTCAGGTAGGGGCCACAGGAATGGGGGGGAATTGAACATGTCATCCCCCACCCCATCCCGTGGCCCCAGACAGCTCACCATACAGATTGGTGGAGTGGGATCTGGTGGCGTCACTCTTGCTGTAACTGTCCTGCGGGGGAGGAGCTGCCGCCCATGGGGTGGCCATTGTGGGGGCCAGGCAATGACTCTCTAGGAGAGAAAGAGCTTAGTGCCATCTCTCCTGTGTACCAGTGTCCTCCCTGGCTGGTTGCTGGGGGCTGACGTCCCCCATCCTGTGGGGTCTCTCTGCACCTTCCCTGGGGCCCTTCACTGTGCCAGAGGCTGGGGTCTACCCTGCCCAGTAACTGCAGAGACGGGGCTGTTGTCTGTAGAAGGCGGGTGGGTGGAGTGCGTCTTTTGGCAGGAGAGCCAAGGGAGTTCCCTCTCTGGGCTGGCTCTGAGTGAGTCAGGCAGGGCTGGGCCTGCAGTCAGAGCTATGCCAGGCACACTCTCCCCTCGGGCAAGTGGAGGAGGGCACGGCAGGTGGCTGTCCTCCGTGCTGTTCCATGCCTGCTGTCCCACTTCCAGGAGCGCACCTGGCTTGCTGTGTGCTTGGTAGAGTGGGCTGTGTGGACGACTGTCCGGCACCGCAGCAGCTTCACACCTGGAGCTGAACTTGTCCCTCCAGAGGGGAGCTGTAATGAGGCCAATAGGAGCTGTGGGCTGGGAAGGGCTGGGCTGTGTGGCTAGCACCCTGCCAGGGGTAGGTCCTAGAGAGCAGTGCGTGGAATTTGGAGACCAATGAGCTGATGTCCAGTTGCCCGAGCTGGCAGCTTTCACCCAATCCCTGCTGCTCCTCTGCCTTGGGTGCTGCTGCCCAGGGGCTGTGTCCCTCCCTGGCTGGGGCCTGCAGAAGCTCAAAGCTTTATGCTCCATGTTCTGGTGGCCATTGATGTCCGGGGCCCATGTGCGGTGGCCCCTCCCTTCTTTGCCCTCGTCCTGGCAGGAATAACATCATTTTGCTCAGACCTCCAGCTGATGGGTATGCGAGCAGCAGGGAGGGGTGGTGGTGCCGTGGTACCCTCCTGGCTCTGTTGTGTGAAGAGTGGGATCACCCTGGCTGGTTTGGGCGAGTGCTTGAAGGGGCAGGGTGAGGGAATCAGGCTGCAGTCATGTGGAGGGCTGGGGTCTCTCTCCAGGCACGAGAGGGATTGGGCATGGCCATGGTACGGGAAGAAGCCCCTTCTGCATGGGGAGGGGGAAGGTAGTGCTGGGGGTGCAGATGGCCCAGCTCTGGGAACTGGGTTGGCGCAAGTGGCTTCTCCACTGCAGCAAACGGAGTGAAGCTGTTACTGTGGCAGCATTGAGCCCTGCCCACACAAGACTCAGTGCTGCCACCAGCAGGGACTGAGCTGTGCAGCAAGAAGCAGGCTGAGAACAGCCTGATGGGGAGGAACCGGTGCTGCTGCAGCTGGACTCTTCCAGGGCCCAAGTAGGGCTAGAAGGGCCTGACGGCTCATCGAGGCTGACCTGTGCATCACGGGCCACCAGCACCTGCACACTACTCCAGCAACCAAAACGAGACCCACAGGAGTCTAGACTAGGATGTGCCACAGGCAGAGAATGGGGGGACTGAGGCGCACCAGTGCTCAGGGGCCCCTGCAATGGCAGGGAAATGATTCCGTGAGATGCCCGGATAATCCTGGGAAGTGACCTCTGGACTCGCATGATGCAGGGGAAGGTGTTAGCATGACCCTGGCACTGTTCAATTTTAAACAAGGTTTGGGGTTTGGCTAGAGAGCCCTCAGCCTACATAAGACCATGGCAAACACGGTATTAAAAATCTCTATTTAAGACACAGAAAAGGAGAAACGGCTCACGCATTAGGTGAGGCTTCTGTTTTAACCACACCTTTTTTCCTTGGGTTTTTAGCAGTAGAATTTTTAAAAGGGAAAATTAGTGTTTGACAATCTTAGTCCTTTTTGGGGAAAAGAGAAGAAGGTAGCTGAGTGGTGCTGGAGCTGCTGTTGTTGGAAACATTTGTTCCCATTTTCTAAAAGACAAGACAAAACCCATGAAGGGAGAAGAAAACAGTGAAGACAGAAGATGCAGCTTCTGTCTCTGCTGTTGACTATCACTTGCTGCTAGGGAAACACAAGCCTGGCGCTTGACTCTATTAGCCATTCTGTGGCCCGGCAAACTTGTACCAACATTGGGCTGTTTAGGACATTGCTTTTGTTTGTCTCTCTTTTGTTACAGGCTCATAGCCGTGTTGCAAAATCAACAGTCTGGCAGGTTAAGCCAGACCATGATTAGAAAGATGAGGAGAGAAGTAAGGTGGGGAAGGAAAAGGACACATGGGCGGAGGGGAAGAGAGGGATGACACATTCTTACATCCCAGGTAGCGTTGGGGATCTGGCCAAAGTTGGTGGAGATGATGCTGTGATCTGGGTCCCTCTCCCTGGCCCGGTCTGGTCAGGATCGCACTCAGGATCAGGACGATGAGGGCCCAGTGGTGGTGTGATGCCTCCTGGGACCCCAGTGGGGATGGCAGCTGTGATGATGAAGCTTGCGTCTTCCTCTTTTCCATCAGCCAGGGGTTTTGTCAGACAGCTTTTTTTTTTAGTTCTTCCTCCCTTCCCCAAACCAAAAAAAATCCTTTTATTTTAAGGACTCCAGAAGGGATGGTGGGTGGAATATCCCGTCCCTTGTTATTTTGCCCATTGGTTAGGGCAGTGATTCTCAAACTCTTTTGTACTGGCACATAGCAAGCCTCTGAGTGCGATTTCCCCCGGATAAATTAAAAACACTTTTTTTTTAAATATATTTAACACCATTATAAATGCTGGAGGAAAAGCAGTGTGTGGGGTGGAGGCTAACAGCTCGCAACCCCCCCCCATAATCTCGCAACCCCCCCCCATAATCTCGCAACCCCCTAAGGGGTCCCAACCCCCAGTTTGAGAACCTCTGGGTTAGGGCTAACTTCCAGTGCACCAACTTTTGTCCATTGAGTTCCAGTTCCACAATTCTCTTGTTTACCTGGCATTATTTTAACTCCGTTCTTGAGATGTAGTAGTGCAATGGTTCTCAACCAGGGGAACCCCCAGAGGTCTTGATGGGCAGGATTGGTGTCCCTAACATCTGTTTGCCAGAAGCTGGGAATGGGCGACGGGGGATGGATCACTTGCTGATTACCTGTTCTGTTCATTTCCTCTGGGGCACCTGGCATTGGCCACTGTCAGAAGACAGGATACTGGGCTAGATGGACCTTTGGTCTGACCCAGTCTGGCCGTTCTTATGTATTCCAGGGGCTATATCAACTTACCTAGACATTTGCCTAGTTTTACAAAACAGGCTACATAAAAAGCACTAGCAAAGTCAGTACAATTAAAATTTCATACAGACGATGACTTGTTTATACTGCTGTATGTACTATACACTGAAATGTGAGGGCAATCCAATCAATTTATTTTTTAATTATATGGTAAAAAGGAGAAAGTAAGCATTTTTCAGTAATGTGCAGTGACACTTCTGTATTTTTATGTCTGATTTTTGTCACAAGTAGATTTTAAGTGAGGTGAAACTTGAGGGTGAGCAAGACGCATCAGATTCCTGAAAGGGGTACAGTTGTCTGGAAAGGTTGAGAGGCACTGTATTAGTGGGCCTCAAACTGAATTAATTCAAACAAATCTCCCTTGTGCACCTTTTCCCATCACATTTATTATTGTAGGTTACTGTGGCACTTGGTGAACTTTCACTTTTTACGGTGACGCTCGCACTCGGGGTAAATCGGCAGGCTCAGTGCTCTCACCACAGAGAGCTGGGGATCCTGAGCCCAGAAAACCTGACCCTTCCCTGACTCTCTGCAGAACTCCAGCTGCTATGGAAGCAATTGTAACAATGTACCGGGATTTCATGAAGGGAACAGGTGAGATCTTCCTTCCGTGCCCAGCTGCTGGCCAGGGAGCTGGGTGCCATGGGAGCTGCAAAAAACAACAAGGAGTCTGGTGGCACCTTAAAGACTAACAGATTTATTTGGGCATAAGCTTTCATGGGTAAAAAACCCACTTCTTCCCTAACCCTAACCCTGAAGGACTAGCCCTGCTTGCTGGCCATCACAGCACCCAGTGGAATATAGTTCCACAGCTCTTAGATTCACACTGGTACTGAGCCATGCTGCAGGACCCCTGCACTGCGATCCCAATGCCCTTAGGGTGCCCCCATTACTGAGCCATGCTGTGGAACCCTGGCTCTGCTTCGGGTGTCCTGGGCTGCTCCTGCTCTTAGTGCCTCCTGCATGGTATTACGATGCCATCTGAGGGGCAGGGGAGAAGTCCTGGAGTGGAGCCTTCACCCAAAGTGGTTTGTGGCTGCCATGGAGCCTGGTGTGCATTAGGAATTACTGGGGTTCATCAGGTGCTCCCAACCACCTCCCTCCCTGAGCGCCATGTAACTGTGATTGCCCAGGAGGAGCAGGGGGTCTCCAAGGGCCACACTGTGGGTCAGTGGCAGAGTCCAGGTCTCCTGACTCAGAGCAGGGCCCTGACTGCAGGCGAAGGGAAGCAGGGGCTGGGGGCTGGACTTCTCCCCTGGTCCTTACCGTCATCCTTTATGCCTCTCCCTGCAGACCCCCGCATAGCTGAGTACCCCCTGATGCAGTCGCCCTTCCTCATGATGGGGATCCTGCTGGGCTATGTCTACTTTGTGCTGTCCCTGGGCCCCCGGCTGATGGCGAACAGGAAGCCCTTTGACCTGAAGAAGTTCATGGTGGTCTACAACTTCTTCCTGGTGGGCCTCTCACTCTACATCGTCTATGAGGTGAGGTTCCAATGGCAGTGCAGTCTGTGCCAGGCGTCTGCGCCATCAGTCCCTGCCCCTGGACAATCTGAGCTGCCGGGCAGAGGGCACCTGGATGCCCAGTGACTGAGGCATCCCCTCATGGTTGCTTTGGGAGCTTCGGCCTACCCTCTCTCTGAGGGGGAGGGTGGGCATGGTGGTATGGTATGTGCTGAACCTGGTCTGGTGGTGTCCCCTTGCTGCAGTTCCTGATGGCAGGCTGGTTGACGGGATACACCTGGAGATGTGACCCTGTTGATTTTTCCCAGGACCCCAAGGCCCTTCGGGTAAGTTCTCCCCTCTTGCTGCAAGCAGAATGGGGCCCTTAATCACAGGCCCTGGGCAGCATGCAGCTGCTTCCTTCCTGTTACCGTAGCCATTGGTTTTGGGGACCTCTGGCCCAAGATGGTGGCTGGGTGTCTCCTGTGGCTTATAAACCAGCAGCGTGGAGCTGAATAAAGAGGCAGTGCCTTCCAGAGGGGGGTGTGTGTGTGTCTGCCTGTATGGGATTGCAGAACCCCAGGGGTCCATCTACTGAACCACAGAGGAAAGCATCACTGCCCCGATGTTTGTTGGCCCTTGCTGGCTGCATGAAACGAACCTGTCTGGGAGGGTTGGACTGCAGGGCAGAGCTGGGTGGGCATTGCTTGGTCTCTGACGCACATACTATCTCCTTGTTGCAGATGGTCCGTGTAGCTTGGCTTTTTGTCTTCTCCAAGTTCATTGAGCTGATGGACACGGTAAGTGATGGATCCTGGGGGAGTGGTAATCAAGCACCCTCTCCCTGGCCCCTTGCTCTCCCTCAGCACTCCAAATTTCCTAGAGTGGCTTGCAAATCCAAATGAGCCTGGCCAGACCCCAGTGCTGGGCCTCAGCAGTGCCCATGGAAAAAATACGGAGACTGGGACTAATGAGTTTCATAAGAACGGCCACATTGGGTCAGACCAGTGGTTCATCTAGCCCAGTAGCTTGTCTTCCAGCAGTGGCCAGTGCCAGGTGCTTCAGAGAGAGTGGATGGAACAGGACACTTTATAGAGTGATCCATTCCCTGTCGTCTAGTCCCAGCTTCTGGCAGTCAGAGGTTTAGGGATACCCAGAGCATGGGGTTGTGTCCCCGCCCATTCTGGCTGATAGCCAGTGATGGAGCTTCCCTACACCTCGTGCCAGGTCATTGCCCTGAAGCAGTGACCAGAGATTCCCCTCTTGGGCTTTGGAAATGAGTGTGAGGGAGCCAGGATCCATCCAAACAATAAGCCCAGCCCATGGGAGGTGAGCGCTTTCTTTCATACCAGTACCAGGCTCTCCACTTCCTGAGCGGGGGCAGGCTGCAGTTTTTCCACCTTCCCTGATGGCTGCACAGGTATTCGCTGATTACTTGGAATTGGCACTGCCCAGGTAAGCATGGCACCATCATCCCTGGAGGCTGCTGAATCAGATGTTCTTAGGATGCAGGACAAGAAGTGCCTGGCAGTGGGTTCTCCCCAACATATCACCCAAGCTTTGGAAGGACCCTCCCTGCTGTTGGAGCCTCTGCAGTCTCTGTAGGTTCAAGTGCTTGCTCATATCTATTCCAATTAGGTGTGCGCACGCCGTTGGAGAGTTCTTACCCTCTGGTGGGTCAGCTGTGGAGCCCCCTGGAGTGGCCCCTTCATGGCACTGGATATATACCCCGGCCGACCCAGCGCCCCTCAGTTCCTTCTTGCCGCCCGTGATGGTTGTTGGAACCGTGGAGCTTGGCTTTGCTACTCTCCACTCTCCCTAGCGCTCCTGGAGCTGAAGCCAGGGCGCTGCGTACCAAAGCACTCGGCACCGGGTCTTGGCGCGCCACTGGAGGCTGAGAACTAAGAGCCGCAAGTGCCTGAGGCCTCTGCTAGCCGTCCTGATCCCAGAGGCATGGAGGCATCATCCTTACAGGCACCATCTTCTCTTCCTCCAACTCCAGCTCCTGGCCCGGACACTGAGGTTGCGGGACCGGAACAGAGGGACACAGCTCAGGAAGAGGCCCCGTATGATTCTCCACCTCCTGTGGCATCCTCCTCATCATCTTTGCCCGACGTGGCTGTGGCAGGGACCGCTATATCGGCCCCCATCTCTCCGATAGACCTCCGCGCCCACCAGGAACTCTTGCAAAAAGTGGCGTGGAATATGAACCTGCAAGCAGAGGAGGTAGTCGAGGTGGAGGACCCTGTGGTTGACATTTTTGTCCGCAGAGGCTCCTTCCAGGGTGGCCTTACCACTTAGCTGGACCATTCAAACCACGGCCAGTACAATCTGGCAAACACCCGCTTCCATTCCCCCAACTGCTAAGGGGGTGGAGCGGAAGTATTCAGTCCCCTCCAAGGGATATGACTATCTGTACACTCACCCATAGCCCTGTTCGCTGGTGGTGGCCTCAGTGAATGAAAAGGAGCGTCATGGTCAGCAAGCCCCGGCACCCAAATCAAGAGGCCAAGCGCCACGATTTATTGGGGCGCAAGGTCTACTCCTCAGGGGGGCTCCAACTCCGGGTTGCGAACCAGCAGGCTCTCCTGAGCCGATACAACTTTAACTCTTGGAACTCCATGATGAAGTTCAAGGAACTGGTTCCTCCGGAGTCCAGAGAAGAGTTTGGGGTCCTGGTAGAAGAGGGCAATACGGTCGCACGAACCGCTTTGTAGGCCTCATTGGACACCATGGACTCTGCCGCTCAGATCCTCTCTTCAGGGATAGCAATGAGGCGCATTTCTTGGCTGCAAGCTTCTAGTCTACCACCAGAGCTTCAGCAAACTTTGCAGGATCTCCCCTTTGATGGAGGGGGGCCTGTTCTCAAACAAGACACTCGAGGCTTCAAAGCGTCAAAGACTCTAGGGCCATAATGCATTCGCTGGGGATGCACACACCATCTACCCTGCGGAAACCATTTAAACCGCAGCCTCAACATTCCTACCTTCCTCCTCGGCCAAGACAGGACTTCTATAGGAGACAGGGGCGCAGTGGCAGGAGAAAACTCTCCAACCACCAATCTAGCCAGGCCCAAGGTCCTTCCAAGCCCTCGGCGGGTCCCAAACAAAAATTTTGAAGGGCTGCCCGAGGACAGTGTACCTGATCTCACTCAGGATCCTACCCCATTCTTGAATCGTTTCTCATTTCCACCGTGCCTGGTCCCTCATAACCACAGACCGTTGGGTTCTTCGCACAGTGGAAAGGGGATACCCTCTCCAATTTTCGTCATCCCCACCCTCCCTCCCCGTCACTCTTCAGGGACCCCTCTCACGAGCAACTCCTTATCCGGGAGGTGCAGTCACTCCTCGCCATGGGGGTGATCAAGGAGGTTCCAAGGGAGCTAAGGGGCAGGAGGTTTTACTCCCGTTGCTTCCTAATCCCCAAGGCAAAAGGCAGGCTTCGGCCTATCCTGGACCTGCATGGACTCAACAAATTCATGGTAAAGTTGAAGTTCCGCATGATCTCCTTGGGCACCATTATACTTTCCCTGGATCTTAGACTGGTACGCCGCCCTTGACATGAAGGACGCGTATTTCCACATAGCGATCCATCCAGCGCACAGACGCTCCTCCGCTTTGTGGTCAACCACGAACACTATCCGTTTACGGTCCTTCCGTTTAGCCTCTCTACGGATTAGGCGTCCTTCTCAACGTGGCGAAGTCGACGCTAGAACCGACCCAGAGGATAGAATTCATCGGGTGGCCTGGACTCTGTGCGCTCGAGCCCTCCTGCCGGACACTCGTTTCCAAGATTTGTCGGGCCTCATCCGGAGCCTTCAGAGCTTCCCAACCTCGACGGCAAGAATGTGCTTGAGTCTTCTATGGCACATGGCTTCCTGCACACACGTCACCAGGCATGCCAGACTAAGGCTCCACCCACTTCAAGCCTGGCTGGCATTGGTCTATCACCCAGGTTGAGAGAGCCTGAACCTGGTGGTCACCGTCCCAGAGAGGATCCTGACCACCCTCCACTGGTGGCTAGAACCAGGGGCATTATGCAAAGGAGTTCCCTTCCACACCCCTCAGCCCTCCTTGTCCTTTGTTATGGACGCGTCAGCCCTGGGATGGGGCACCCATCTCAGGGACACTCAGACACAGGGTCTGTGGGCCCCGTCCGAACTCTCTCTCCACATCAACATACGGGAACTGGTGGCAGTACGTCTAGCTTGTCAACCCTTTCAAGAGCGGCTGCATGGCCGTTGTGTGGCAGTCCTCACAGACAACACCACAGCCATGTTCTACATCAACAAGCAAGGGGGGGCTCGTTCCTCCCCCCCTCTGTCAGGAGGTCATTCGACTGTGGGAGTTCAGCATAGCCCACTCCAGTCACCTGGTGGCGTAATTTCTCCCAGGGGTCCAGAACATGTTGGCAGACAGTCTCAGCAGATCCTTCCACGCCCACAGAGTGGATGACATCCGGACGGAGCGACCACTCATCTTCCTAAAGTGGAGGTTTCCCCAGGTCGACCTGTTGCCTCACTCAGCAATCAGAAATGCCAGGCGTTTCGCTCCCTCCAAGGTCGCTCCCCAGGTTCTCTCACAGATGCCTTCCTACTCTGGTGGACAAGCTGACTGTTCCCACCATTTCCCCTCATACACAAGGTCCTGCTCAAGGCATGCAGGGACAGATCACAACTGATTCTGGTCACCCCGGCGTGACCCAGGCAGCATTGGTACCCCACGCTGTTGGAGATCTCAGTGGACGCCCCGATTCCGCTGCCTCTCTTTCCGGACCAGATCACGCAGGATTGCGGTCACCTCTGTCACCCCGGCCTGCGGTCCCTCCACCTCACGGCGTGGATGCTGCATGACTGAGCCACTCTGAAATCCTCTATTCTCACTTGGTACGACAGGTCCTGTTGGGCAGCAGGAAACCTTCCACTCGGGCTACGTATATGGCTAAATGGAAGCGATTCTCATGCTGGTGCTCTCGCCACGGCACACTTCCCCTCCAAGCGTCAGTCCAGAATGATAGGTACGATCTCCTGAACCTGAAACAGCAGGGCCTGACAATCTCATCCATCAGAGTTCACCTGGCGGCCATCTCAGCTTTCCACCCGGGAGTGACTGGCTGATCTGTCTTCGCCAACCCCATGGTTGGTAGGTTCCTCAAGGGCCTGGATCGTCTATATCCAAAGGTACGACAGCCTGTACCCATGTGGGACCTCAACTTGGTCCTCTCCAGACTTATGGGACCCCTGTTTGAACTCTTGGCCACGTGTTCCCTTTTGTACCTCTCTTGGAAAACCACTTTCCTCGTGGCTCTCACTTCGGCGAGGCAAGTCTCTGAGCTCAAAGTTCTTACATTGGAACCACCTTACACAATCTTCCATAAGGATAAGGTGCAGCTACACCCTCACCCTGCCTTTCTTCCCAAGGTGTTATCGACTTTTCATATCAACCAGGACATCTTTCTTCCCAAAACCTCACACCAATAGTCAGCAACAACGGCTTCACTCCCTCGACGTTCGTAGGGCTCTTGCCTTCTACATTGAACATACAAAGCCGTTCCGGAAAACGACGCAGCTCTTCGTCACAATAGCAGACCAGATGAAAGGTCTTTCAGTCTCCTCCCAGTGGATCTCTTCCTGAATCACGTCATGTATTCGTGCCTGCTGACCTGGCCGGGGCCTTGATTTCCCCCAACCCCCCCATCTCACTGCTCACTCCATGAGGGCTCAAGCCTCATCGGCAGCCTTCCTGGCCCAGATGCCAATCCAGGAGATCTGCAGAGCTGCTACTTGCTGTTTGCCTCACACTATGCCATCGTTAGACAGGCCAGAGACAATGCGGCATTTAGTAGAGTGATCCTACAATCCACGGTACTTCACTCTGACCCCACTGCCTAGGTAAGGCTTGGGAGTCACCTAATTGGAATCTATATGAGCAAGCACTGGAAGAAGAAAAGATGGTTACTCCCCTTTGTAACTGTTCTTCGAGATGCTCGTATCCATTCCAAACCCGCCCTCCTTCCCCTCTGTCAGAGTAGCCGGCAAGAAGGACCTGAGGGGGCGCTGGGTCGGCCGGGGTATATATCCAGTGCCATGAAGGTGCCACTCCAGGGAGCTCCACAGCCGACCCACCGGGTGTTGCTACGGTAAAAATTCTCCAACGGCCGCGCACGCGGCACACGCACACCTAATTAGAATGGATATGAGCAACGTCTCGAAGAACAACAGTTACAAAGGTGAGTAACCGTCTTTTCCTGAGAGCCCTGGCAGAACCTCTGCACTTTCAATAGCCATCCTGTCCCACCTGCTCCAGCTTCTGTTGACTCAACCACCCACCTGCTTCTCTCTGCTTCTAGGTGATCTTCGTCCTGCGCAAGAAGAATGAGCAGATCACCTTCCTGCACCTCTTCCACCATTCTGTCCTGCCTTGGAGCTGGTGGTGGGGGGCTAAGTTTGGCCCAGGTGAGGGCTGGCACACTGAATTGCCCTGCAGTGAGGGGAGGGGAGATCTGGTCCCAGTCTCCTGGTGAGAGGCCTACACCGCCCCGCTGGCCTCAGGGCTCTTCCGTCCTTGTTCCCCGTGGGCCCTGCAGGGGAAGATCTTCTCACTACCCTTGTAGGAGTGCATGCACAGTCTTCCCACGCCTGGTTGCAGCCCCCATTCTCACCTGTGGCTGAATCAAACCCCCTTCCCTACCCACTCCTCACACCCATTATTGCCCATTTGTGGGGGCTGGGAGCCCTGTATGGGTATGGGGAGGGCTGTAGTGCAGTTTGGCTTGCTGCAGTAGGTCATCCATGAGCTTGGGAGCCTGTGCCCCTGTTGGGTGTGGGGGCGCAGCACCACAGGGTGGGAGTGGCCCTCAGCCCTAATCACCTCTTCTCTGCCTGGCAGGGGGAATGGGTTCCTTCCATGCCATGATCAACTCCATGGTGCATGTCGTCATGTATTCCTACTATGGGCTCTCGGCGGCAGGGCCTGCCTTCCAGAAGTACCTGTGGTGGAAGAAGCACATCACAGCTGTTCAGCTGGTGAGTTCGGGCTGTGCAGCAGCCACAAATGCCCCATACACCCCTGGGGCTGGGTGTTCCTGTGGGGGCCAGTGGAGGCACAGCAGGGGGGAAGGGTTGCTCTGGAAAGGATCCATGCCAACCTCTGGCAGGACCAGCACCCCTCACTAGAGTGCAGATGGGGCTGTGTCTGTCCCACACTGAGATCCGTAGCAGGCTGTGCCTGTCTAGGTGCTGTGACCAGCTGAGGTCTGCAGCAGCTTCATGTATTGCCCTGGGAAGGGCTGGGCCTTTGCCACCACCAGGGGCACCCTCGTGGTGCTGTTCTCAGTGTGTGTGCCCTGTGTGAATGGGCGCTCTCCCATGGGCTAGGGGGAGGAGGCGTAGATGGGGTTGGGATGCTCTCCCCCTCCCCCTCCCCCCCATGAGTAACTGGTCCCCTCTCTGCCTCCCTCTCCCGTGGCGCACGCTCCATGCCGGCTCCCAGGCGCAGTTCGTGATCGTCTCCATCCACATCTCCCAATACTACTTCATGCCCGGCTGCCAGTACCAGTACCCCATCTTCATCCACCTCATCTGGATTTATGGGACCATCTTCTTCATCCTCTTCTCCAACTTCTGGTACCACTCCTACACCAAGGGCAAGCGGCTGCCCAAGGGGGCCCAGTACCCAGCCCAGCTCCAGCACAACGGCATCAGCCTGCACGAGAACAGCGCTGTCACCAACGGCAAAGTCAAAGCCAACTAGAGGGCCAGCCCCTCCCAGAGCCAATGAGAGCCCCGGGGCAGAGGTGGCTGGGACTGTCCCCCTGCTCCTGGGTGTTACTAGCCAAATCAAGTGCCTACAGACTGTTGTATCCCAAGTGCCCGGCCCCGCTCCCTGCTGCCCTGTCTTCAGGCATGGCCCCTCTGCTCTGGGCAGCTCCTTCCCACCAGGGCGGGGGAGGCTCCTGCTCCCTGCCACGTGAGCAGAGGAGCAGCCACCTGCATCACCGGCAGAGGGGTTACAGCCCTGCTCCGTTGTCTCCAAAGGAACTTCCCCATAAGTGCCTGTCTGCCCCTTCTGCCAGGGCCCCCTTCCTGCACCAGGAGGCTGCTCCATGGTGAGTAGGACCAAACATGGAGCCCACCCCACCTTTGCCATGTGTTGGGCCCTGTGTGAATGAGGGGAGTCACTCTCCATTTGACTCCAGGTGCTCCCTGTGCCCCTCTGTTCTCAGCACTGCTGCCTAGGAGTGTAAGGCCCTGGGCCTCACTCCCACCTCAAGGACCCTGGGTCCTCCCCATTCACCATCTGTCCTTGCCACTTCATTGCATTTCATTGCGCTGCTCCCTCCCAGCTCCAGTACGCAGAGCGAGGGGATGCTAGGCCCTGCACTGCGAGCACTGGCACTCCAGGACAGCTAGGCTGGGTGCAGGGTCAGGTCCCTCTCTGGTTACTACTTGAATGTGAGGCTGGGCCTACTGCCCCTGTGCACTAGCTGACCCTTTTCACCCGGTGCCTTGCATCCACATGGGCCATGCTGACACTCGGGAAAAGCCATTCCCAGAGTGCATGCTCCCAGCCTGCCTGCACCCTTCTTTCCTGGCTGGCTGTGGGGCGAGTGAGTCCATTCCGACCATGGCTCCCTGAGAGCTAGCCTCTTCAGGTTGTGGCTTGGTCCAGCATCTGAGCAGCTGAGTTTTGTCTCCGTCTGCTTAATACCTGTAAACTCAAGACTGGAGCAATAATCTCCCCTGGAATTTGCTCCCTTGCTGCCGTGGCATTTGGCCAGTAGCCACACTGAAGCCCAGCAGCCGTGTGCACAGTGAGAGGAGGTCAGAGCATGGCCGCAGCCCTCTTCCTCCCCGTGGCCCTGCTGTCCCTTGTGCAGGTTCCCAAGGCAGTGCCCTTTGTGCCTTGTAAGTGTTTCCACTTGGAGGGCATGGGGGGCTTGTTCTTGCACTTGGGAGTAGTGCAGCAGCTGCTCAGTGAGCATCTCCCACTCTGGCTGCAGTCAAGCCTTGTTGGTGTGCATCCTGTGGGGGAAGCAGGGGGCCTTGAGCACCCCTCCCCCCACATAAACCGGGCTGCTCTTGTGTATCTCCAGAAATAAAGACAGAAGGAGAAGCGGCTCTACCCTCTTGTTTTCCAGGATCTCTTTTTAGTGTGAACTCAGTAACCCTTCCCAGCCTTGCCTGAGCTAGACGGAGATGTGGGGTGAAAGCTCCTGAGAGAAGTGCCTGGCCCTGCCAGAACACCAGGGAGCCAGCAGGCACCTGCAGTGAACTCGCTGCCTTGAGGGCAGCTGCTCGTGGCTGGGAGGGAGTTAACAAGGCAGCAGATACTAGAATCATTTGCTGCTGGGGAAGGCAGCTGGACTCTCGGAGCACTCTGGGAAGAACATTGGTGGGGTGGGAATAGGGTAGTCAACTGTCTAATGGCACAAACGCAAACACCGTTGCTCCATCCCCAGCCCAAGGCCAGGGCCCTGTCCTGCCCCTTCTCCAATGCCCCCTCACTCATTCTATTTCCCCCTCCCCCTGTTGCTCGCTTTCCCCTACCTTTTACTCTCTTTCACTAGGCTGGGGCAAGGGGTTGGAGTGTGGGCTCTGGGCTGGGAGGGTGGGATTGGAATGCGGGAGGGGGTGAAGGGTGTGGGCTCTGGCTGCCCAACCCTTACCTCGGGTAGCTCCTGGAAGCGACTGGCATGTCCAACTCCCTGGCTTGAGGCAGCCAGGCGGCTCTGCATGGTGCCCTTGCCTGCAGGTACCACCCCCGCAGTTCCCATTGGCTGTGGTTCCCGGCTAATGGGAGCTGTGGAGTTAGCACTCAGAGTGGGTGCAGTGGGCGGAGCCCACTGACTGCCCCTGTGCCTAGAAACCAGAGGGACGTGCAGGTCGTTTCCAGGAGCCATGTGGCGACAGGGCAGGTAGGGAGCCTGCCTTAGCCCTACTGTGCCACTGGACTTTAGCAGCCTATTAAAATCTCCCAAATATGGTTCAGTAGTCTCGCTAGGCAACCGAGGCTGATTCCGGGAGCCTCCTGGCCAATCTGGGAGAGTTGACAACCGTAGGTGGGAACCACAGCGGAGAGCAAATACCAGACTGGTATGCTTGCTAAAGCCTAGCCAGAGAACACAGTGTTTGGGGTCGGGGGTTGCAGAGCGGCCGCCGCTGCTCATGAGGTTCCTTCTGTGCAACTGTTAGGGCAGAAATGGGGCAGGAAGCAAACCTCCAGCAGGAGATGGGAATAGCTGCCAAGGCGTTTTGGCTTTTGCCTAAAGTTGGGCTGTTGTGGAGAGCCAGCAAGCTGCCTGCATGTGCTTCCCCTAGAGTCCACACTTGGGAACGTCCTCCAGCTGCTGGGTGTGAGATGCTGGCCAGAAATCAGGCATGTGCCACTTGCGCTCCCAATGCCTCCAAACCAGGGACTTCCTCCTCTCCCAGCTTTATGCAAGGGTGGGATGAAGAGGGGTGTTAAAGCAGGTCAGATGGATAGTAAGAAAATCCTGGCCCAGGCTCCTACCAGCCACACAGTGCCACTGAGCAGGGGTAAATGGAAGGAACAGAACCGGTAACTAGACTGAGGAAACAGGCTGGCACAGGAAAGTGTTGAGGCCAGGGATTTAACATGGTTCACAAAGAGACTGGACGCTTAGAGGGCTATCAGGAACAGCTTCCAGTAGCAGCAGTGATACATTTTGGAAGGGATTAAAACTTGTTTCAGGGTTTAAGATTATCTCCAGCTAGTAGGGCCTAGCATGGCACTACTCTGCAAGACAGGTTATCCCACACATGCTCCTGTGGGGTTCTCACAACTTTCCTCTGAAACCGCTGGCTGTCGTCCCTGTTGGAGGTAAGATGCTGGGCTAGATGGACTTTGGGTTTGATCAACTCAGGCAGTGCTGATGTTCTTAGGCTCGCCTCTCTTCCCCTCCTCCCCCCAAACTACCATGCACCCTACTGCTCATTCACCATAGGCTAGCAACAAAGGGATTGATAATCTAGTGTGCCCAGCACTCTAGTCCTGGATTGTGGCTGTGAGAATGACCAGTACCTGATAATGACAGGAGAAGGTGCTAGTGGGGCGGAAGGAGGGGGGCAATGATGGACACACATGCCCCCCCAGTGGGGGCAGGAGTGGTCAGTTCAGCCACTGAAGACGGGAGGGGTTGGCCCTTTTTAATGCAACTCTGGATATTCTTATCCATTTAAGGCCTGGTGCTGTGCTAAACTCTTTGCCTCAATCTTGTCCCACCGCTTGTGGTTTTGTGAATTCTAGATGTGGTCTGTTTACTCCTGGGGGAATTCTGCACCAATGCAGAATTTGCACAGAATTAATCTTCTGTGCAGAATTTCATCTTTCCCTGGAGAATTGGTGCTGCTGGCTGCCACTATGGGCCACTGGACCCAGCGGAGCCCAGCTCTCTAGCTCTCAAATACAGGACAGGGGGGGGGGAGGGAGAAGCTGGAGGGTTCTGGGCAGCTGTGGTTCCCAGCATGTCCTGAAGGAAGGAGGCAGCATGTAGGGACTCCCTACAAGCCTGGGACCCAGCATCAGGCTGTTTCTCTCTAGATCCCTGGGATCTCAGGGGGTGTCCTGCAGCTGGGTTCTGGGGGGGAGGGATGTGGGTATCTGAGACCCGAGGGGTACAGTTTTCCCCCAAGATGTGCCTAGTTGGCATGTGTGATACACCCAGACTGCGGTGCCCAACAAAAGCATTACAGTGAAACAGGATTTGGGTTGTCATAGGGGTTTCTTTAGCTCTGTATGCCTGGGGAAATCGGTGTCTGTGTTGTTACAGACATACTTGCTGACAGGTATTTTGAAATAAATTACCAGAATATCTGAAGCTGGTGTGATTATATTGCATTGTTTTGACAAATAAAATATGCAGAATTTTTATTTATTTATTTTTTGGTGCAGAATTCCCCCAGCAGTATCTGGTAAGGTGTGCCCATGTCTTTGATTCATGGGAAGGTGACAGCCCCTTGTGAGCTGTTCAGTCATTTATGTCATCTCTCCAAATGGTTTAGTCCAAATGTTTTTATTCTCTCCTTGTAGGGAGCTCTCCCAGGCCTAGCTTTCTGGGCCAGGGTGGCTCCCTTCTCCTTGTAGTTTGGGGGCAATTTGGGCACAGCATCCTGGTAGGGGACGCTAGCCTAGGGACTGAGCGATAAAAGTGGAGAGCAATGCTTTCTGTGAGTTCTCCCTGTAACGACACCCTCCTTGTTTCTTTGGATCATAGCTGCAGACTGAGCCACTGACAACCTGCCCTGCTCCTAGAGAGAGCTGAGAGCTCAGCCGTCTAGGGGCACGTGACGTTATGCTATAGAAATGAGCTGATCCCCTGCAGGCTTAGGGTGAGGGAGAGCCATGTTCAATTCCCTGCTCCACCGTGGGCTTCCTCAGGTGCCTTGGACAAGTCACTGGGCCTGGGTGGGCCTCTCTTCCCCATGTGTGAAATGGGTATACTACTTCCCATCTCCCAGGGGCTGTGAGGTTCTGTACATTAAAGATTGTGCAGCCCTTTGAGAGCTAGCGATGAAAAGCGCAGTCTAGAAGAGGAGGGTTGCTGTGAGCTGGGATGTGCTTGCTCAGTCCTGTAGTACTTCTAAAATGGATGCTAATTATGGGTTAAGATCTTCCTGAACAAGTTACAGACAACTGTGTAGACCAGCTGCCTAGGCAGCAGTTATGGCCAGGGTAGAGGCCCTGGCTGGAGCCTCTTTAGCACAGTGATATACAGACCTCACTCATTAAGGAGCCAAATTAGTGAGCGACATTACCCAAAAGAGCCCCAGGCATGTGAATTTATTGTTTCATGTACTACAGTGCTGTATATTTATATTTAAACAGTATGACAGGGACATACTTAGTTTTTATGTATGTGATTCTGAGCAAAATGACTGACCAAGTGTTTTATCAACTACAATTGGTTAATAACATTAACCAATCAGGAAGATTTTCCTAACTCAATCACTGTTCTAATGTCCCGAGCTGCAAAGAGCCACAGGTGAACCTTAACGAGGCACTTGCAGCTCCCAAGCCTCGGGCTGAGTATTGCTGCTCTAGCAGGTTGGCTAAAGCTCGACCCTCCCTCTGAAGCGAGAGTCTAACTCCCTATCCCAGGCCTCGAGCTCGGTGGAGGCCCAGGGTCCCCCCCACCCCCTGTGAGGCTATTCAGCACGCTATGGAGCTGGGGCTGGGGCTGCGGCTTCTGTAGCACTAGCAGCCTCGTCTGTCTCTCACTTCTAGCTGACCTTGCCCAGCTGAGAGTAGAGACCAGAACACGGGCTAAATGGGAGCACTAGTGCTCTGCACCCAGTCACGCCTCCTAAGTGTGTCTCAGGAATCCAATGGGCAGGGCGGCCTGTGCCCCAGTATCAGCAATGGGGGCACCCGAAGCCCCTTTGCTAGCAACTGCTGCAGGCCCTGATACTGCAGCGGGGGCCAAAGGGCTCAGTTCCTGTTCCACACAGCAGCTGTGGCTCAGCCCAACTACTAGCCTAGACCTGAATAACTCCTGGCTTTAATGGAAAGGGGGGGGAGGAGACAGCCAGGAGGGGAGGCAGCAGGGAGGGTGGTGGGTACAGGAGCACACAGGAGCTGCTTGAACAGGCAGCTAGCCAAGCTGGAGGAGGCAAGAACTCTGCCATGGCCACATGGGCTCAGAGGAAGAAGGGGCCTAGGCAGAGCTTTGTGGAGGAGACAGACTCAGCCCTGCTGGCAGAACAGAACTAATACGATGCTTCCAGGGCTGTCCCCTGCTGCCGCATAGGCTCTAGCAGCAGAATAAGTGGCTGGGGTGCAGTCTCCACTGCAAGCCAGACTGGGTACAGCAGTATGCATTGGGGGAGGGGGGTGTCACCCTGGGGCGGGACTCACCCCTGGGGCTAGGAGCTAGGATCCTAACCCCCAGCGAGGTGGCACCGTGCCCTATGCAGGTTTGGGGCTTTTGTAATGCCCAGGTAGCAGTGCTAGCTTCCTCCCTGGCTTACTGCAGGGACTCTAGTTTTACCTGCTGTTGATTTGGCTGTGTCCAGTCCCTCCATCCTTTTCCCACTCAAACTCCTCCAGCTCCTGCAATTGTCATACCCCCCCC